TTACTGTTAGAATAGGTAAACCCACTGTTCACTTTTCACACATAGTTTTTGAGGTTCCACAAGCCCCTGGATCATTGTTCCCAGGTGGAAGGCAGCAAGGAGGGGTGGCGTGGCCCCCTGGTCACTGGGCGACCTGGTTACCTCTCACCCATCGTGGGAGTCCCCTCACCCTGCAGTTTTTTTCTTTTTGCGTCAAAGGGACAGTAGGTTGAGAGAGAGTTCTTGTTTTGAATGTGTGCACACTATCAGGTAAAAGGCTTCTACTAGTGATAAGCTTCCCTAACTGGGTAAGTTATAGAGCTAAGTACACAGAAAAGGGAGTCGGGAGGCCATTATCTGTCACGCCCCAGAGTCACGTGATCGTGTCTGCCCAGCCCCGCCCCTCCGCTGAGGCCCCTCAGGTGCTGTACGTGCTGACGACATACGACGTACTGACGCAGCGTGCACGTGGTGCCGTGGGCGGTGCTGACGCTGTGCCTCCGTTTCCCTTTTTCTCTGACAGCGCTCTTTTGTTTTTTGTGTCCTTGTTTAGGAGTGCCAGGAACCTTCCCTTTTTACTCCTGACACTATCAAATTAGAAAGTAGGACCAGTTGCCACCAGACAGCGTCACATCTCTCTCAGTGAGGAAAAACACATGACAACCGCAGAACGCGTTTGCATATGAAGGGCACTGTTCACTTAATACTGACCTTGGAGTCCCGGAGCTCTTTATAGTCTGGATGAATTAAAGTACTTTCTGCTGTATTTAAGTATTAAAAACTGATAACAGTTCAAAGAATTGTTTTCAACTGAAAATTTTATTCCAGTAGTTGCAAAATGTGAAAGATGCCCTATATTCTTTATTAAAGCAGAAATGTGGTTTTGCCTTATATTGAATTCCTGTTTTTCTTCTATTTCATATATATCACATGCCATTTTCTTTCTTTTTAAATTTAATTTTATTTCATCATGATAAGTATAATCTTTCATTCCCATTCCCCCTTCTCTCTGGTGGGGACCATCAGTTTGTTCTCTAGAGTTAAGAGTTTGTTAATTGGTTTGTCTGTCTCTCTCTCTTTTCCTTTGCTCGTCATGTTTCTTAAATTCCACATATGAGTGAAATCATATGGTATTCATCTTTCTTGAACTGACTTACTTCGCTTAGCATTCTAGCTCTATCCACGCTGTTGGAAGTGGCAGGATTTCATTCTTTTTTATGGCTGAGTAATATTCCATTGTGTATATATCCTCTTTATCCATTCATCTGTTGATGGACACTTGGGCTGCTTCCATAATTTGGCTATTGTAAACAACACTGCAATAAACCTAGGGGTGCGTGTATCCCTTTGAATTAGTATTTTTGGGATAAATAATCATTAGTGTGATTACTGGATAGTAGGGTAGTTCTATTTTTAATTTTTTTGAGGAACCTCCATACTGTTTTCCTCAGTGGTTGCACCAGTTTGCATTCCCACCAGCTATGCAAGAAGGTTCCTTTTTCTCCATATCCTCACCAACGCTTGTTTCTTGATTTTTAGCCATTCTGACAGGTGTGAGGTGATACCTCATTGTATTTTTTTTTTTTTAAGATTTTATTTATTTATTTGACAGAGAGAATGAGAGACAGCACAAGAGGGAAGAGGGTCAGAGGGAGAAGCAGACCCCCCGCTGAGCAGGGAGCCCGATGCGGGACTCGATCCCGGGACTCCAGGATCATGACCTGAGCCGAATCAGACGCTTAACCAACTGAGCCACCCAGGCGCCCCCCTCATTGTATTTTGATTTGTATTACCTTGATGATGACTGATGTTGAGCATCTTTTCATGTGTCTGTTGGCCATCTGGATGTCTTTGGAGAAATGTCTTTTAATGTCTTCTGCCCATTTTTAAATTGGGTGATTTGTCTTTGGGTGTTGAGTTGTTTCAGTTCCTTATTGGATATGTCATTTGCAACTATCTTCTCATATTCAGTAGGTTGCCTTTTCGTTTTGTTGATTGTTTCCTTTGTGCAGAAACTTTTTATTTTGATGTAGTCTGAATAATTTATTTTTGCCATTTTCTTTCTTAAATTTGTTATCTTTGGGAGGAGTGATGGAGTGTTTGAATTTGAATTTTTTTTTTTTTTTAAGATTTTATTTATTTGAGAGTGAGAGAGAGACAGTGAGAGAGGGAACACAAGCAGGGGGAGTGTGAGAGAGAGAGGGGCAGGCTCCCGCTGAACAGGGAGCCCGATGCAGGGCTCGATTCCAGGACCCTGGGACCATGACCTGAGCCGAAGGCAGACACTTAATGGCTGAGCCACCCAGGTGCCCCTGAACTTGAATTTTTTTTAAACAACTGTATTGGGAAATAGTTCACATGTGCATACTTTACCATTTTTTTAAAATTTTATTTTATTACGTTAATCACCATACATTACATCATTAGTTTTTGATGTAGTGTTCCATGATTCATTTTTTTGCGTAGAACACCCAGTGCTCCATGCAGTACGTACCCTCTTTAATACCCATCACCAGGCTAACCCATCCCCCCCGCCCCCCTCCCCTCTAGAACCCTCAGTTTGTTTTTCAGAATCCATAGTCTCTCATGGTTCATCTCCTATTTAAAATGTACAGTTTAGCAGCTTTATTATTTTCAGAATGTATAACCATCATCACAGTCTAATTTGAAAACATTTTCATCATTCCCAAAGTAACCTTGTGTCCAAGTCATTCCCATTTATACCACCTCTGGCCCTGGACAATCACTACCTTCATCTCTTTTCTGGGTATTCACCTATTCTGGGTATTTCGTATAAAGGGAATCGATATGTGGCTGTATTAGTTTCCCAGTGTTATAACAGGTTACCACAAACTGGGTGGCTTACAACAATAGAAATTGATTTCCTTATAGTTCTGGAAGCCAGAAATCCAAATCAAGGGATTGGCAGGGTTTGTTCCTTCTTGGGGCTCAGAGGGAAAATCTGTTTCTTGCCTCTCTCCTACCTTCTAGTGGTCGCTGAAGCTCCTTGACCTTCCTTGGCTTGTAGATGCATTGCTCCCATCTGTGCCTGTGTTTTCACACGGCCCCTCCCCTGTTCCCTGGGTGTCTTCACGTGGCCTTCTTTCTTATAAGGCACCAGTCACTGGATTACAGCCCTCTGTAAGCCAGTATGATCTCGTCTTAACTAATTACATCTTCAGGGACCCTATTTCCAAATTAGAATCTATCTGAGGTTCTGGTGAACATGAATTTTGGGTAGACACTGTTCAACCCAGGACATTGGCCTTTGGTGTTTGGCTTCTTCCACTTACCATAATTCTTCAGGGTTTATCCATGTTGTAGGTTATATCAGAATCCTCTCTTGTGGTTGAATAATATTCCATTGTGAGGACACCACATTTTATCCATCCCTTCATCATTTGACGGACAGACACTTGGGTGGTTTCTACATTCTGGCTGTTGTGAATAATGCTGCTATGAAAATTCATGGACACGTTTCTGTGTGGGCATATGTTTTTATTTCTTTTGAGGTGGATTTAACTGAATCTGTCAATTATATTGTACATATTTATGTCACTTTGCAGGAATGGCTATTATTAAATTCTGGCTCATTTTTGACCTCTTGAATTTGCCTTTGTATTTCAGTGATTTTCAAATGACTCACCTTTGAGCGATTATGTTTTGCAAGAAACATGCTTTCAATTCATTTCATGGAAGTCTATTGTTAACATTAGAAAGAAAGCTATCTAGTCTTTCATGCTAAACTCTGGTTACTTGCTGATATGTGCTCTTTTGTTTTTATAGATAAGTAATAACATTTAATTTTTTAACCATTCACAAAGTATTTTCTCTTTGTGATGTCCTGTAAGCTTCCTTGTACTCCTGAGAGATCTCCTGAGGCTGCTCTTTTCTGGCTGCTAAACTTGGGATCCAGTTGATTTCCTTTTAAAAGCGCACTTGGACTAACTGTGACACAGGACGATGTCCTTCATCCTTCAATTTCACAAATCTGTTGCTTCTATGGTGCTCTTTTCTCCAGGTGCAGGGAACATGTATTAACTACCAGGGAACATTCATGAGCTTAGACCAGTGGTTCTCGAACTCCAGCCTGCACCAGAATCACCTAGAGGGCTGGTTAAAGCAGAGTGGTGGGTCCCACTATAAGTGTCTGAGTCTGTAGGTCTGGGGTGTAGTGGGGCCTGAGAATGTGCATTTGTAACAAGGTCTCAAGTCTTGCTGGTGCTGCTGGTCCCAGCACCACGTTTTGAGAATCATGGGCCTAGGCAGCTAAATCCATGTACCACTTTGGGTATTGTTCAACCAGGGCCTCTTAAAATTTAATGTGCCTATGAATTACCTGGAAATATCTTTAACCTGTTCTGACTCAGTAGGCCTGGGGAGGCTTCCAAGAGTCTGTGTTTCTAAGCAGCTCGCAGGGGATCCCAGTGCTGCTTTGTGTAGCAGGTGTTGAAAGAATAGCCATATGCTGTCCTCTGCTTGGGTAGGTCTTTGTTCTGTACGACTGTACAGACTCCACACTGAGTTGTGAAATACGCTTGCTAGCTTTAACAGATGAACAGAATATACCTTGTAACTTGCAGGGAAAGGTTCTCTTCAAGTTACGTGGTTATGATGGAACACAGAATGAGAGGCCCAGATGGTCCAGATTAGCCCCAAAGAATAAATGGTTCAGACTTTCACTGTAATATTTGGAGTCAATTAAAATTCTCTGGAGTGATTTTTTTTTAAACGTACGTTTCCAGGTTCTGAAATGTCTGTCTCACAGTCACAGGTCCTGTGACTGAACCGAATAGATTCTTACAGGGATTCTAAATTCATTCTTTTAAATGAATGGAGTTACTTTTTTGTTTTTCTTTTTCTCAGCTTCTTGACAAATTAATGTACACTTGATTGTATCAATGTTAGGGCCTTGTTGTTCTGCATATTTCGTACTTATTCCCTGGAATGATTATTATTTTATAGAAACAATATAAATATTCTCTAAAGCTAATTAAAAAGATTTTTTTTTCTCTCGGCAGGTCACTTACAACCTTGGGGTTGGTGATATCATCACTGGCTGACCAGGCAGCTGGCAAGGGCAAAAACAAATTTGTGCCTTACCGAGATTCAGTCCTCACTTGGCTTCTTAAGGTAATTCATTGTTCTGGTGTTCTTTCCAACTAGAACTTGCCAGTTTCAGAGCTGGTAGCTGAAAGGTGTGTGCAGAGCTAACCAAATACACAACAATCCCTGACAGTACTGTCATCCTGATTCCCAGGAACGTAGAATGAAAACTCGCTTCTGTTGCCCCTCTTACCCCATGGTAGTGCTGTTTGACAGGCATCGTCGTTGTGACTAGAGAGAAACCACATCTCGGCATACAGTTATTTGTGAGATACAAACCCATTTCCACCACACATTTCTTTCTTCACAGAGAATGTCACACGTGCATGTTTTCAGCTTTCATCCTACGTGTTGTGCACAGAATGGGGCTTGTTTCCTAAGATGCTACTGGAAATATTTTGCAGGACAATTTGGGAGGCAACAGTCAGACCTCTATGATAGCCACCATTAGCCCAGCAGCAGACAACTACGAAGAGACCCTCTCCACCTTGCGATATGCAGATCGAGCCAAAAGGATCGTTAACCACGCCATCGTGAATGAGGACCCCAATGCCAAAGTCATCCGGGAACTGCGCGAGGAAGTAGAGAAACTGAAGGAGCAGCTCTCGCAGGCTGAGGTAAGATCAGCCCGGAGCTCCCTGTTCCTGAAGGCCCCTGGCTGGTGGTATGGGAGTGGGGAAGGGTGTCCTTGCCTGCAGTTTTAGGTCATCTCCCTGCCATTCAGCATTTCTGTGTTGATTGGCATCTTCTGCATGCTAAGCATGGTGAAGACACCATGAGTGGTACCAGACTTCTGTCCCAGGAACTCAACCTCCAGCTGAGGACACAGACAAGTAAGAGTCAGGGATTGCTACTGCCTCATTGTTTGCCTCAGTCAGCCAGTTGGCCCTTGACTGCAAATCTCTTCCAGTGTGAAACTTGAAGAACCAAATGTGTTTTTTTAATTTAATTTTTTATTTTTTAAAGATTTGTTTATTCATTTTAGAGAGAGAGAGAGTAAGGCGAGGAGCAGAGGCAGTGGGAGAGAGAGACTCTCAAGCAGACTCCCTGTTGAGCACAGTACCTGACGCGGGGCTCAATCCCAGGACCTTGAGATCATGACCTGAGCCGAAATCAAGAGTCGGACGCCCAACCAACTGAGCCACCCAGGCGCCCAAATGTGTTGTTTTTATTAACATTGTGAACTATGTGCCCATAGGCCTTGCAGTTTTCAGATTAGTTGGTTATATATCGTCTCTTTCTCAAGTCAGGGCAGACAGATAAATGTTAGGAACAATTCAGAAATCTCCTTTTATTTTATTTTTTTAATGTATATCCGCTCCTGGCAGGAAACAAAATTGGTCATTTCTCATTGTTACCATCTTTCCTTGGCTTTACCCAGCTTGAATAAACACACCCTCTTCTAAGTAACTTGCTTGTTGCAAGCTACTGGGTGAGGCCCTGTCTCATTTGAAATAGGTAATAGGACTGAAATGACAGCCAAGTGGCTGAGCGTAAGTCACATGCTTGGCCATGCCTCACTTGGGTGTGGACCTAGGGCTGCTAAGGTCACATTCCTTCATACCACTCGCTGCTGAACCCTCTTTAGTCAGGAGAGTAATAAGCTGTGGGGGGAAAAGCGTAATAGATACTGTTTTTAAGCACTTTTGTACCAGCCTATGTATCTATCAGTGTATCTAGTCAAAAAAGTAATCAGTAAGAGATTGAGATAAACAGGCAGAAAGGAGTCAAACCAGGGATCTGAACTGTCTCTTCATTGGTGATGGTGGAGTTGCACTGTAACAATGTGTTTATGAGTCTTCCTCTTCTTCCAGCTATGGGCTTCTGAAGTGTAGGAAGCCTTGTTTTATTAATTATTTTCATCCCTAACCCCTAGGGCAACACTGATACTGGAAGGCACTTAGCATAATGCCTGGCAACATTGTGAGTGCTCAATAAATGTTGCTATTTTTTTGTTATTCATTTTTTATTGATGCCAAGAAGGGTAGCGAAACACCTGAAAAATCAAAATACTGATAAACTTTGAAGAGAGTCATTCATGATCCTAGGAGGAAAGTGTAGCGGTTCTGAAATTCGTGTAGAGGTGGATGTGCTACTTCTCTCCTCTTGTCTCTGAATCTGCTTTTCCCCCGTGACCATGTAATCTAGGCCAGATGGCTAGAACCATGCCCGGCCAAAGGGAACAGAAGAGGGGCCCCGGAAGGTTCTCCGAGATAGAGTTTTCCTGGGTGTCTCCTTGTCCTCAGCACTGAATGTCACTCTCAGCTTCTGTTATACCACTGTGAGACTCTGAAACCTCAGTGACCGTATGCATCATCGCCACTTGGATTTCTTGTCTGAGTCTGCCGTCCTTCCTGTTCGTGGGCTTGTTCTTTGTAGAGGCTCCCGTTGTTATAGGGTGTCAAAGCATGTTGTTGCCAAGTAGAGGCCCCCAAAGTGTTTAAGCTGCACTTCTGTATCTGTACTTAGACCCCTTAGGTATTCTCACTGAGCTAACTTAGAGGGAACTTGCTGCCCTTTTACCCAGATGTCCTGTTTCCAAGGGAGTGATGAATATGCAAAGTTTATTACCACCAATAAGAAAAGTAGTTTTAAATGATTCAGAGTCAAATTTTAAAATGAACGAGAAGACTCTTCACCTTTCCTGGTAGGTTATCCCTGGGATGTGTTTATTGGTGATGTGTGTTGATCTCTGTCTTACTGAATAAGAAATCTGCTTATCTTTTTTCCTATGTTTCTGTTTTGACGACGAACTTTAGATCTTTGAGGTCTTCAAATGTGAAGGGCGCCTGGCTGGCTCAGTAGGTAGAGCATGTGACTCTTAATCTCAGGGTTGTGAGTTCAAGCCCCATGTTGGGCTTGGAGCCTACTTAAAAAAAAAAAAAAAGTCTTTAAATGTGAAATTTAAGTATGATGGATAAAATTACTCTGTAATGATTTGTATCAGTTTAATTCAGGACACTGGTTTCATTTTCTCCTTTAAAGAGTAGCAGTCATTTATTCTTATATTTCTTTTGATTAATAAAGATCTAAACCCCCCCTTGACAGTGTATGACTTAATTGCTTCCAACAGACTGCTGATAGCCACTTATGAAGGACAGTAAGGGATTGTCTTATAAATAATGGTGGGAAAAATTAGAAAATCAGCTATCTCTGGTTTCCTCTTCAAGGCTATGAAGGCCCCTGAACTGAAAGAGAAGCTCGAGGAGTCTGAAAAGCTGATCAAAGAGCTAACAGTGACTTGGGAAGAGAAGCTGAGGAAAACAGAAGAAATCGCACAGGTAGCTTGATAATTCAGGCCTAAAATCTTGTGATTCTTTTTCATTTGCTGTCTTTTCTGTGTAGCCACTCATCATCCTCAAAAAGTCATGTAAGGGCGTCTTCCTGGTAAACGAGACCGCAAAGATCAGGCTTAGAGGCTACTTTGCCGTCTTTCATCGGCTGCCATGTGGTCCACGTGTTTGCTAGAGGTGCTGGAGAGCACGGACTTGGAGCAGGCATCCTCCACAGGCCACGCTGTGCATGTTTCCTGCTTCTCCATTTTGTGATTTTGGATCACCTGGCAGAGCATGTTACCTGACTGGCAGAGAGTTTATAACTGACAGCACATCATAGTTTTTTTCATTGTAATTGCTTCTTTGGGCTTGTGAGAAAATGCTACATGAACTTTACTTGAGATCTAACATAAGGCAAGGACTAATGCTGCACTCGTGTGTGGTTTATGAATCTACACTGTGCGTTTTGTGAATATTTTAATCCCACTGACCACTTGGAAATACTGGACCATCCCAGTGAGGTATCTTGAAAGCAGTACCTGGGACCTAGTCGAGCCTTCTCTTAGATACTATTCACACACACACAGACTCACACACACCCCCACACACATACCCCTAACTCCCTATGTCTTGTACATTGCTTTGTGTTTCTTCACAGCACTTATCACCATTGGCAATTCTGTATTTTACGTGTCTGTTTTTTCATGGTCTGTTTCTTTCCACTAGAATATAAGTTTTCACAAATGAAGGGACTTTGCTGTTGTATTCCTAACCCTAGATCAGTACCTAACACTTAAATATCTCATGAATGAATGAATGAACGAATGAATGAATGAATGAATTCAAGGCCCTGTGCAGTAAGGAACCAACCTGCTCTTCCAGCCCCATCTCTCCCATGACTTTCCCACATTGACTAGGGTTCTTGCCACCTGGAATCATGCAGTGTGCCCAGAACCTCTACTGTGCCTTCTGGTGCCTTCCGTTCGGACACCCTGCTCCTACATTACCACTGCCCCATTTCTTCCTTGGAAATTCTTAATACTTCAAGAAACATCTTAAGTGTATCCTTTTCCTGAAGTCTTTCCTGGTCTCTGAACCCATCACAATCTCCCTCCTTGGAAGCCCCGTAATACATTGTTCCTCTCCAGTGGTCCTCTTCTGATTTAGGTATGTCGTCTTATCCCCTCTCCTAGATGTAAACCCCTTCAAGGGAAGATGGTGTCTGGTTCACCCACAGCACCCTGATAACACTGACTCAAGATGTCACACATTTTAGACACTCTGTAAACTTGGTTGTAATGTGTCATTTCGTTGGCATTGTCCCCAGAAATAGTGACTGAAACTTTCCATGGATACCTCTTGTGGCTAGAGCAACAAATAGAGTTTCCTGTTTTTGTTCCCAGGAGAGACAACGACAACTCGAAAGTATGGGGATTTCCCTGGAGACGTCGGGTATCAAGGTCGGGGATGACAAGTGCTACTTAGTCAACCTGAACGCAGACCCTGCTCTCAATGAACTTCTGGTTTATTATTTAAAGGTAAGAAAGCATATAAATAGACAGTCGCAATCCTGATTCATTCACATACAACTCCCATTGGAATCTGGATGTCTGTACCCATGATTTCGTTTTTGTATCCAGCTTAGTGCTCATTAAAAGTAAGTGACCCCCCCAAATAAAATAAATAAATAAATTGCTTTTGCACCATTTAAAAAAAAAAAAAAGTAAGAGGATGGATGGTGTGGTCTGGTTACCATTGAAAGTGAAACCTCCCCTCTGGCAACCATCAGTTTGTTCTCTATATTTAGGGGTCTGCTTCTGCTTTTTCTTTGTTTGCTTGTTTGTCTTTTTTAGATCCCACATAAAGCAGAATCATATGGTATTTATCTTTCTCTGTCAGACCACACTTTTGGAAATGCTGGCTTATTTTGTTAAGTGAGAAATAAGACATCTGTTTGAAGTGGGGCACCTGATAGACACTGATATGGGGCACCCCAAAAGACATAGGGTTCCTCAGTTATGGTAGTATAGAAATATATGTGGCAGTTTTTAAATAACTCTCAAGGATTGGAGACCTGGGGACTTGAAGGTAGCTTATCTAACTGTCCACACACCTAAATCTCTAAATGCCAGAGATATTACCCACTTGCCAAAAGTTAAACAGGTGCCTAGTTAAGGATTCTGATCTGCCTTGAGTGAATATAAAAATGCAATGGAAAATAAGCTAGAATTGAAGAAAGGAGCCTCAGTCTTCCATTACCCTTTTTATTCTCCTTTTTCCAGAGACATAAATCTGGTGCAAATAGCCCCTGATTTACTGAGAGTTCACCAATGGACTTAACTGTTCATTTGGGACATGATTAAGGCATAAGGAATTGTGTCCAAAATCCTAATTTTGAAAGACCAAACCTTTCTGTCGAATAGGGAAATATTTACTGTCATGGTGACTCAATGATTTTTAGAGCAATAGAAAACACAAAGTGATGAGCTGTGGACCGCATCATGGGAGTGACAGTCCTCATATGTCTGAAATCATGCTCATCTGTGCATTCTATAACCCACAGGCTGCAGTACTCTGTAATATTGGTATTCGAAACTCATCTACTTTTATCATTTTATTTTTATTTTTTTAAGATTCTATTATTTGAGAGCAAGAGAGAGAGTATGAGAAGGGGAGGAGCAGAGGGAGAGGGAAAAGCAGGGAGCCCGACATGGGTCTTTTTTTTTTTTTGGCATAGCACAAACAAATTTATTTACTAACCAAAGGGATGATCCTAATTAAATCAACACTTTGAAATAGATGCATGTAAAATGTTTGCGATAAAGATAATTGAACACAGTAATGAAAAAAAAAAAAGCAGTATGGAGATTTGCTCATTGAACTGAGCTTGTTTATCCTCACAGCTACTTCCTGTCCACAATGATGATGGAATTTTTACTCTACTTTTCCATAGACCCGAGTACAGGTGACATTATTCATGATGCATTCCACCACTAATTTCCCATTTTCCAATTTTCTTGTGATTGTGCTTTCCTTCCCATCCCATTCCTGATGTTGAACCAACGCACCGTCTGTGAAGTTGCAGACGGTCTGAGTTTTTCTGCCGTCAGCTGTAGTTTCTTCAAACTTCTCTCCCCGGTTACATGAAAACTGTGTTGTTTTCAAAGTGCTCTCAGTTTTTATGGTGAGGTTTTTGCCGTTAGAAGAGTTGATACAATCTGGTTTGGCCATTGGACCCACTTTTCGCAGAGCCATTCCCACTCCTACTTCTTTCATGTATTCGTCAAAGCCTTTGCTTTCCACTAAGCGCCATCTTCCTACCAGCTGCTGAATGGTGGCCATGGTAGGCGAGGGCCGGCAGGCCTAGTGAGCAGAGCAGAGTGGGGCGTCGGGAGTGTGGCTTCCCTTTTTTTGGGGGGGGGGTAAAGATTTTATTTATTTGACAGAGAGAGACACAGGGAGAGAAGGAACACAGCAGGGGGACTGGGAGAGGGAGAAGCAGGCTTCCCGCCAAGCAGGGAGCCCGATGTGGGGCTCGATCCCAGGACCCTGGAATGATGACCTGAGCCGAAGGCAGACGCTTAACAACTGAGCCACCCAGGTGCCCCGCTTTTATTTTAAAAATTATATATTTGAAAATACCAGTTGCCATGAAATTCCTGTTAGTGATTCTTGAATTTATATAGTTATTTTCAAAGCATTTTCCCTGTCAACTCAGGTGATCCTTGAAAGAATCCTACTAAGTAGTTCGAATTGATGATATTGTCCTAGTTTTGCAAAAAAAAAAAAAAAGAAAGAAAGAAACCAAGGCTCAGACTGTGAAGTGGCTTGCCCATGGTCACATAAATAGTAAGCTGTCAAGTTAACATGGGAACTCAAGATAGTTTCCTGTCAAGTCAGATTTCCTTATGTTGTTGGTTTTTTTTTTTAAGATTTTATTTATTCATTTGACAGAGATGCATACAGTGAGAGAGGGAACACAAGCAGGGGGGGTGGGAGAGGGAGAAGCAGGCTTCCCGCTGAGCAGGGAGCCTGATGTGGGGCTCGATCCCAGGACCCTGGGATCTTGACCTGAGCCAAAGGCAGACGCTTAACGACGGAGCCACCCAGGCGCCCCCCCCATTTCCTTATACTGTAAAACAATATCTAATCACTGTTGGTTGGTGTTGTTTTCTTCATAGTGTTTAAATATTTTTAAAATGTAATTATTAAGGTAAGCTTTTGACCTATTATGTTCCAGATATCTTGCATCTCCCATCTGATTGTTTAATATTGTCATGCAGATGCTATTGGGTTATTCAAATTGATGGTGATAAATTTGTGTTGAGTTACTTGTAAGAATAGGTTTTTTTCCTTTCTTTCACAATCTGTTACTAGGACCATACCAGGGTGGGTGCAGATACGTCACAGGACATCCAGCTATTTGGGATAGGAATTCAGCCGGAGCACTGTGAGATAGATATTGCGTCTGATGGCGATGTTACTCTGACTCCGAAAGAAAATGCAAGGTAAGAGAAATAAATGTCCACTTCACATATCTGTGAGCCTGATTTTCAGAAGTAGACTGCCCCTTTCTGTCTGTTGGCTCAGTTCTATCAAAGTTAAGACTTCACTGGGTTCTTGGGGATATTTCCGATTGTAGGGAGTTGTATGGCAACATTTAGAGCACCAGCTTTGGGGTGGCTGATTCTGCCTAGACTGACCGGGTATCTTAGATAACACACTTTTGTCTAAACTTCTGCTTCCTCATGTGAAACATAGGGCTAAAAGTAGGCAAAACAAATCACTTGGCTCAGTGCCTGACACATATAAATATTTTATTT